GCGACCCCCGAAACCTTCCTGATGGCCGAAACTGTACTTCCTATATATAAATCTTTACCTCCAGACCATTCCGGAACTCCTCGTGACGTCCGGGATCTCATCCGGGACTCCGAACAACTTTTGGGTTACTGCATACTAATATCTCTACAACCCTAGCGTCACCGAACCTTAAGTGTGTAGACCCTACGGGTTCGGGAGACATGCAGACATGATCGAGATGCCTCTCCGGTCAATAACCAACAGCGGGATCTGGATACCCATGTTGGCTCCCACATGCTCCACGATGATCTCATCGGATGAACCACGATGTCGAGGATTCAATCAATCCGTATACAATTCCCTTTGTCAATCGGTATGTTACTTGCCCGAGACTCGATCGTCGGTATCCCAATACCTTGTTCAATCTCGTTACCGGCAAGTCACTTTACTCGTGCTGTAATGCATGATCCCGTGATCAACCACTTGGTCACATTGAGCTCATTATGATGATGCATTACCGAGTGGTCCCAGAGATACCACTCCGTCATACGGAGTGACAAATCCCAGTCTCGATTCGTTCCAACCCAACAGACACTTTCGGAGACACCTGTAGTGTACCTTTATAGTCACCCAGTTACGTTGTGACGTTTGGCACATCCAAAGCACTCCTACGGTATCCGGGAGTTGCACAATCTCTTGGTCTAAGGAAATGATACTTGACATTCGAAAAAGCTACAGCAAACGAACTACACGATCTTTGAGCTATGCTTAGGATTGGGTCTTGTCCATCACATCATTCTCCTAAGGATGTGATCCCGTTATCAATGACATCCAATGTCCATAGTCAGGAAACCATGACTATCTTTTGATCAAGGAGCTAGTCAACTAGAGGCTCACTAGGGACGTGTTGTGGTCTATGTATTCACACATGTATTACGATTTCCGGATAACACAATTATAGCATGAACAATAGAAAATTATCATGAACAAAGAAATATAATAATAACCATTTTATTATTGCCTCTAGGGCATATTTCCAACAGAACATACACAAAAAACATCGAGACCTTCATCCTCATCAGGAACCCTAGGCACCGCCATTTCCCATCTCCATAGTTACTGCCATCTCCACTACCATAGCACTCATCCATCTAGCCTTAGTTTGTAATCGTGTATCACATCCGGAAACTACTGTAAGACATATTATCAATCAATCAATCTTCATGAGGTGTTCTTCAACGGGTTTTCCTTGTGATCCGATGTCCATGTGTAAGTATTTTGGTAAGGCCATGTGACAGTGTCCTAGACTAGCGGGGTACCAACCTAGTTGGCCCATAGTTCTTGGGCCGAGCTTAGAGGCCCTCATTCTCATAAGGAAGGACTCTAGAGACCTCACACCTCGACGTGATCAAGGCAACCTCTGCCGAAGACTTGACGTGTACTCCAAGGACATCTTCGAGCGCCGTCATACACATCTCTCGATAAGCAACCGACCATGTAACCCTAGGTACCCCCTGGCATGTATATAAGCCTAGGGGTTTAGCCTATAGAAGGGCCCCATTCATAATCACATCCACCTAGCCCTAGGGTTAGAACACAACTTACGATCTCAAGGTAGATCAAGCTTGTAGTCGATACATAACCATCAATATAATCAAAGCACAACGTAGGGTATATTACCTCTTCAAGAGGGCCCGAACCTGGGTAAACATCGTGTCCATTGTCTCCTGTTACCATCGATCCGAGATGCACAGCTCGGAACCCCCTACCCCGAGGTCTGCCGATTTTACCACCGACATTGGTTCTTTCATTGAGAGTTCCATTATGAGATCAAAAAAAGGATCTATGACTAATCTGCAAATCAACTGCAACGCTGGCTAGGATGGCATCTTTGTCCCTAGCCAACTATTTGTGTTTGGCAGCATGGTTTTCCACGCCGACTCCACATGCCATCTAGCACACGTCGAAAACTTCGCTCCGGACCAGTTGGTCACTTTTGGAAGCCTAGAATACACCGTAGACTCCTGTGGCGAGCTTGTTCTTCCCGATTGGGCTCCAGACTGGATCAAGGACCTCTCGGTTGCTATGGGCTCGACCTGGAGCCGACCTCCGACCTGAACTTCGGATCTGATCTCCCGATGGGTTTGGTCCCATCCGTGGAATCCACTGCATGGCCTAGAGTCAGACTGGGCTGACCAGCACGCCGAGCTCGCGTCAAGCAGGCCCGAATCATGCCTCGAGTCTGCCCAACCCCTAGCCAGGCCATGCACCCTGAAGATCTGTCTCACCTTAATGAGATATTGGATCGCATTCAGAGTTTATCAATCTCGAACGATCAGACTTTGGTCTATGACAAGATCGGACTTAAAGTCGACGACATGGAAATTTACGTCCCACCCACCACCCACTTAGTCGCCACAGTCGATGACTTAACCGATGTGCTTGACTACGATGAGGCTACCGACATGGATGAGGATGTCGATGGCACTCCAGAAACCATTACACCTTTGACCACTTATGACGTATACATGGTGGCACTCCAGAAACCATTACACGCCTCCTTTAGGTGGTGTGCTTCCCTCTGTCTCGTTGAAGCGAGACATAGTTTTTTTTTATTTGGCACTTGCTATGCGTCAAAAAGATCCACCGGGTTGCGAGCTGTTAGATCCGGCATAATCTCATGGCTTAGTATTGTCCTCACTTTTGCAACAAAAGTCATGTTGTGAGTTTCCTTTTGCAACACAAGCTTTGTTGCAAAAATAATAACTGTAACGCACTTGTTGCAGATTTTTTTTTTGCATCTTCATTTTTTTGCAACATAATTACTCTTGCGGAAGGAACTTTTGCAACATAGGTGATGTTGCAGAAAAATTACAACAAAGATCTAGTTGCATTAGCACTGGAGAATAGTGCAGTGCAGTGGGCTGGTTACACATGGACACGCGTCATGCGCTAGAGGCGGCAGATGCACCGTGCTGGATCAGCCTGTTGTTTCCACATTTTTCCTTTTGTTTTCTTTACTTTTTTCAGTTTTCCTCCATTTTTTATTTCTTGGAAAATTTCCTAAATTCTAAAAATTGTTCCATTTTCAAAAAATCGCAAATAAATGTTTTTTCAAAAATTATTTGCAAAATTTTGAAAAATGTTGCCGTTTTTTCAAAATTTTATTTTGCAATTCACAAAATATTCTGCTTCTTATAATTTTTTCACATTTTTAAAAAAATGTTTGGGAATCCTATAAAATGATTGCCTTTCCAAGAAAATGTTCATGTTTCAGAAAAAAATCACAAAATTAGAAATTAGTCCGAAATTTCCAAAAAAAAACGTGATATTGGAAAAAAATCATGTTGTTTTGGAAAAAACAATTCAAAGGTTATTTGTGTTTTTCAAAGTAATAATAAAATTTTCAAAAATGTTGGAAATAATAAGGAAAATGATAGCATTCAGCCGGCGGATAAACGACGAGACGTCAACCTCCTTGATCAAACGCCGCGTGTCCTCACAGGTCCCATTGCACTACCTATCCCTTCCAACCTTATTTTCTTGCTGCACATCCATACGTCTTATTCTTTCCTTTCTAGCACCATCTCCATCTCTCCTTCCTCCCATATCTCCTCACCGCCTATCTCCCGGCCTCATCTGCGACGCCGGACTAGTCGTCGTCGTTGTAAGGGAGCAAGCAGGTGGCGGTGCATCCAGGTTGCAAATCGGCGCTCTCCATTGCAAGGGATTCCAAGGGGTATTGTGGCAGGGCGAGGCTTCGACGCGGAACCGCAGGCTCGCTCACCTCAAGTCATTTTTCAGGCGAGGCACGACTCACCGGTGTGATTCTGCAACAGCAGGAGCGCCGGCGCTGCTGCCCTGTTGCAGTCGGCGGCGACGAGCACGGTGAAGGCAACGACGTCGATGTTTCTGCACATGATTTCAGTTGCACAATTTTCTGCAACATTAGCTATGTTGCAGAAGCTTTTCCACAACATCATTGTTGTTGCAAAAAAAGGTGAAAGTAGAAGAAAAAACTGCAACACGACCTATGTTGCAAAAAAATCTCACAACATGACCTATGTTGCAAAAATATATTCCGCAACACAACCTCCGTTGCAAATTATGTCAGATCCAACGGCTCGCGAGGCGGCGGGTCTTTTAAATAGATTCGTCGACTGACGCGTAGCAGCCCCCAAATAATAATTAGTATTCTATGCGTGTATCATTGTTATGTATAGGCAGGACATATGCGGATTGTATCCCCTTAATGCTTCATTTTGACCTTAATGCTTCATTTTGAGTCAATAAAACTCAACCCGTTGCCGAAGAAGAGAACACTAGAGGCCACTTCGGGAAACAACTGCACAAAAACTATGATATGCGCTGCTAAAAACCCCACTATATGACAGGCCAGAAGAAGCAGAGGTTCATTGCAACAGCACGAATACTTCGCCCGTGGCGCTTCAAAATCTGATGGCTCGACAGGAGTCTGCTTTCGACGAGCTGTCAAAGGAAAATTTTGATTAGATTTCAGTGTCATCGTGGCGCTCCAAACCTGCTGAAACGCCGGCCGGCAAATTCCCGCCGATAACCTGTCGTATAGCGAGCTCATGTTCAACACACACTGGACGGACCAAATGACCAAATGACCACGTACACCTAATCTGGTCTGCTTCCTGTGGCTTTCTTCCATTTGCTTAGACGCTTAAACTAGAGCCAAGCCATGTTAGCTTAACCTCGGCCAGAGCAAGAGACACACATACCCATACTTATTAACCAATACTCCCTCCGTAAACTAATATAAGAGCATTTAGATTACTATTTTAGTTATCTAAACACTCTTATATTAGTTTACAGAGGGAGTAATTTAGACAAGCAAATATACGCTTGTACTACACGCAGCTGCGAGACGACCCTATATATAGACCTAGCCAGCTACACCCCGGTATCCCGGCGCAGTCACCAGCAAACCACTCCAGTCACCGCAAGTCCCGTAACTCGATCGATCGCACAGTAGCTAGCTACGCACGTACAGCATGAAGAGCAAGGCGGCGAGGGCGGCGAGCGCGGCGTGCATGCCGCGGCTGACGAGGGGCAGGTGCCGCGCGTCCACGGCGCGGCCGGCCGCGTCGGTGTCGCTGCTCGAGCGCATCCGCGACGTCGTGCTCCGCCTCATCATGCTCACCGCGGTCTCCAAGGCCTCAGTGCAGCGCAGCAGCAGCGGTAGGACCTCCTCGCCGCACGCCGGTGCTACCGGGGCCGTGACGTGCCGCCGGGACGACTCCATAAGGAACGAGGCCGTGGAGGAGTGCATCGAGTTCCTGAAGCGCTCGTCGGCCGAGGGCGAGGCGGTCAAGCTGTCCAGCGTCACCGCCGAGGCGGTTGCCGCTGCTGTTGCCTCGGAGAACGATCCGGAGCCGAAGCGCCTGTCCAGCTCCAGCGTCGTCGCCGTGGCGGGGAGTGCACAACACGCTGCCGTAGCTGCCGGCGTCGAGGACACCACACGCTCGGCCTTGCCGTCCATCGTCTGATGGAGCGATCGAACCAATCAATCTAGGACACGAGGAGGAATTGGCTCGTTTTGTATAAGGATTGTTTCTTATTCCAACGATGTTTCTTTTGTGCATGCATGCGTGCTTCTGCTTTTGCTTACAAAAAAAAATGCTTAATCGACAGAGCAAAGTGGAGTGGTTGTCGATAGCGATACGTGTCACCGGCCCCGTTTTTTCTTCTCTGATGATGAGGTTAGACTGGAAAGAAGGAGCACAAGGACGGTGAAACAAATTAACAAACTCATCCTGGCGGCGTAAAGAAACCGACGCCATACCCCTTCTCGTGTAGTGTGCTGCTCGTATGGGATTGCCGGGAATATTCAAGTTTAACACTGTCGTTATCCCCGTGAATGTTGGCTAAATGGTTCCCTGCAAAAAAAGAATGTTGGCTAAACGATGATTCACTTATTTATTGGTTTATTGTAACCTTCAAGAATTCAGGTCTGGGAAATTGTTGTTCTCGTGTAACACGCATATGTTGGACGAGTGAGGGAACCATGCATCTTGGAAATTTGGGCGGCGGTGGATGAAACAGCCGGCGGCCGGACGGGGGTTCGTGTATGCAAACTAAACGGCGCCGATCGAGCCATGGAAGGGAGGTCGGCCGGCTCAAGGCTACGCTGGCAGGGAGGAGGCGGTGGAGGATCTCCGGCAGCAATATGGTCGGCTGGGAGATGTGACAGTGTTAGAATAAATCCGAGGTAATACCGTTGACCATCCGAGGACCAAGCAATCACACGAGCACGACACCGAGATTTGTTAACGAGGTTCATCGATATGGCTGCATCCCCGAGCTTGACTACGGGCACTCCTCTCCATGACACCACTACAATACCGCACCCGGTTACCCTGGACATCGGCACATGCCGCCGGCTCCCCTGCGTTCCGGTGCTATTATGTTGGCATAGGTTACATCGTGTGTCTACCCCTGCTATATATGAGAGACCTAGGATACAAGTGTCCTATTAGGACACGCCTTCACATCCTATGTAAACACAATACAACTACAAGTCCAACTGTAACCTACCTTGTACACAATATTCGACACAACTCCAACAAACTCCACCTTGGCGAATATTCTCCACCACCTTGAATTCGTCAATGCGTCAAATTTCCATGTACATTAGACTTGAGCTTATCCCATGAGTACCGTTGCTACTTGAAAGATTTCATATGACTCCACCTGCAACTTGTAGTTCCTTCTTTTCATGACCACAGTTAACACTCGAGCAAAATTAAGTTCCTCTTGTTACTCTAGTTTGTGCTCCCAACTTCCAAAGTATCAGTCCAACGCCATCACACACTGATCACTGACCTGCGTGAAAAATGAACAACTCACATATTGGGTGTCACACATAAGAGTTACCTGAATTCAACATCACCGCACCTTTCTTGACCGCATGTCCGAAACTTGAAAGAATTTCACCATTGCTTGTAGTCATCCCGAGTCAAATTCACAGTTGTCTCACCACATGTATGACATCCAGAGCCCTGGCCTGTCTCCATGCCCCGTGCTAACCGCACGTCCCGCCGCTATTATCGCATCGAGCCTCCGCTACCCTGGTCGAGTCTCAAGGGTCGCAAACCCACACCACTCAACCCCCACTGCAGAGTACCAGCGATCATCACCGACCGGTGACGAGTTTCACGCTTCCATCAGACCACTGGGCTCCAGTCTGAACTGCATGTCACTCGCTTTTTTCCCCACTGAATAGGCTTCGACTCTCTGTCGACTTACGCCGTAGCCCCTCAATCAGCACTAAGTGAAGTCTTCCGTCAGACTCCAGCTCCACCTTCAACATGACTCCATGGTGGTTATACGTCCCACCCCGCGTCCCGTCGACTTCAAGCTCCGTGTGTACACCACCTTGAATCAACCCCGCGCCATAGTCTTGTCGAAGCCACACAAGCCCTCGGGGCCTGCGCCACGTGTTTCCACGCCCAGAAGTCGGTCACCATCAGCATCACGCACCTATGTCGTCGCTGATCTCACCACCGTCTTCTGTATCAACCGACTTGCGTCGATCCGTCAGATTATCTAGTCCGACCCAGCCGAACTTATCCGACTGCATGACACACTATCCTCCACTTCACATAATCTCCAAGCCCTCTCAGCAATCTTGACAGAAAAAACTTCCATGCAAACCTGATCCAAAAAATTCTTTGCACAATTTATTTTTCCTCATCATTATTTGCTAGTGCATCCCGTGTATCTTTAGCAGCAAAGAACATATCTGCCCATGACACACACGCATGCTCATAGTATCATGTGAAGCATGGACTCGTGCCTTCCTTTTTTTTCAAACAAATCTCACGTAGTGCAAGCGACGGAACCCCCTGTAGCATAGCTAGCCTGCCACGGGCCTTGATCCACTGATCTGCACGGCCTGACCTGCCACGCGCGCCAGCCTCTCGTTGCCTCCACGCGCTTGCCTGGCACCGCGTGCACACCGTGCCCTAGCGCGGCAGAAATCACATATCTGACCTCAGGCAGAAACCAAATCACAAACTGACCTGGTCACGAAAAAATTTCACTCTGCTGACCCTTTGGTGTGGCGCCCGACAGCCGGGCGCCGCACCCTACTGTGCAGCGCCCGACAGCCGAGCACCGCACATCCTGCCAGCGTGGCAGCCCTGGTCCAGTTGCGGCCCCACACGCACCTGTGCAGCGCCTAAGAGCTAGGCGCCACACACCTGTAATGTGCAGCGCCTAGCTCTTGGGCGCTGCACAGTCTGTGTTCCACTTGGGCTGGCCCCACCCTCTCTCCCCTCCCACCCCCACCCCACACACCCCCACCCGACCCAAACCCTTAGACTTGCGGCCCTCCTCTCTTCCCCTCTCCCCCCTCTCAAATCCTTCTCAAATCTTGCAAATCCGGAGTATTTGACCGTGGATTTCGAAGCCAACCCCTCCCTTAAGGTAATCTCCTCCGATCCCCTCGTTTTCATCCATAGGAAT